TCTAATCAGGCTCCGTATTAAAAAAAAAATTAAAAAAAGAAATACCCGGGAATTAAATGGGCTGCGTAGAATTGTTTTTCTATGGAACTTGTCCTCGAGGAAAACTCATAAATGTTGGAATAGTCTCATTAAATGTTTATTTTCATAAAAATCTGAGTCAAAAAATTGGAATGAAAATTATGGGATGCAGGTAGGCTCCCGCCCACAGGAAGCCATGGACGGAGGCAGGTGCAAAGGGGGTGGGTATGGCACAGTCGGGGTGGGAGAAAGGCCAGATTTCAGGCTATTGGTTCAATCAGAACCGGTAAGAGTTGTGAAAGGGGATGAATTTGCAAACTATTTAAGTGATAGAATCCCAGACTCTCCTGAAAAAACCCTAAAACGGGAGGAATCCAAGTTAAAGAATCCAAAGACCTTGAAGGGAGCTTCCCTCGACCACAGAGCTGCCACTACTTCCTTGGAGCAACGGTTCTCAACCTTCCTCACGCCGCGACCCTTTCATACAGTTCCTCGTGTTGTGGGGACCCCCAACCATACCATTATTTTCGTGGCTACTTCATCACTGTCATGTTGCTACTGTTATGAATCGTCATGTAAATATCTGATCTGCAGGATGTATTTTCATTGTTATACATTGAACATAATTAAAGCATAGTGATGAATCCCCAAAACAATATGTAATTATATATGTATTTTCCGATGGTCTTAGGCGCCCCCTGTGAAAGGGTCGTTCGACCCCCAAAGGGGTCGCGACCCACAGGTTGAGAACTCGTGCCCTGGGCTGGTTTGGCTCAGTGGATAGAGCGTCGGCCTGCAGACTGAAGGGTCCCAGGTTCGATTCTGGCTTGTAGGCTCTGGATAGACTGAAATGGAAGTAGCCCACTGACATGTAAGGAAAAGAATGCATGGTGAAGATTTTAGGCCATCTTCAGGTATTTTCTCATGTAAATATCGGTGAGGGCCTGGTAGACGGAAATTGAATCGTTACCATAATTTTTATTCCTGTATATTTCGGGATCATGAAGAAATAGACCTCAACCACGTCATATGCTAGGTGAACAGCCTGCCATATTTCATTTTTCCCCCTTTGTCCTTCCCTAAAGAACCCTATCGCTACGAAAGCAAAAGTCATGGCGTTAATAATCCTTCGGGGACCGGCAATGAGGATGGGTGTCTACTACTGACGAAGCTGTGTAGCTGGAAATTGCGTTGAAGCTGGGATTCGGTTACGTTTCCCTTCCGGTTGTCTCCAGTGTGAATATTCCCAGGGACGCATGACTGCAAAGAGCAGCGGGACCTCTTTCTCGGACCCGGTGCCTCCCCTCCACGTGGTCGGCACTGGGACCTCGCCTGCACCAACTCTGTGCTCCTGCCCCAGCGGGACCCATCAGCCTGAGGACAGTCTCTGCTCCAGACCAACTCGGACCGGCCTCCCTGGTCATGTCATCTCGGAAGAGATGATGCCCAGACTCTCCGCGCACGTCCTTGTGCGCACGAGGCAACGTGTAGGTGCGACCTCTCCCATCTGTCCTGGGAATGGCCCTCGCCAGTGCCCGGGGACTCCACTCTCTTGTCCTCCTCCTCCTCCTCCTCCTCCTCTTCCCCCTCCTTCTCTCTTCCTCCTCCTCCTCCCCCACTCCTTCTCTTCCCCAAACACCTGTTCTCTCCGGCTACAGACCCTCAAGCCTTCTCCAGGGCCCTCGGCTCTTCGGCTCTTCCTCTCCTATCTCCTTCCTCCTCCTCCTGTTCCTCCTCCTCCTCCCCCTCCTCCTCCTCCTCCTGTTTCCTTAGAATCTGCAGTTCTGCCCAAAGACACCCATTCCTTTTTCCAGCGCCTGCTGAGGAAGGCGGGTCCAGGTGACACAAAAGAAGGCATAAGCCGATGTTTCTACTTCCAGGGCGGGTCCCCTGGCCCCCAAAGCCCTGAGTGTAGGTAACAATAGTAACCATACCACCAGCAGCTTGAAAGAGCGTGTGAAACAAGCCAGGGAAAGGGGCAACCGGGCAGCATTGCACGGGCGATGCCGGTGGCGGGAGTGGCCGAGGAGAAGGCGAGGGAGAACATGGGACCTAGAGCCTCCGGGCCCTGAGGAAAGGAGTGGACAGGACCCGGTGGGGGACAGCCTGAGGCTCGGGCTGAGTTCATCGGCCAGAAAAGAGAAAGCACAGAGGTCCCCGCCCGGCCCGGGCCCAGCTCCTCGCTCCTCCACGGGCCCAGCTGCTCGGCCAGGAGTGTGGAGTGGACGCCATTCAGAGATTATTAAAAACTAAAACCAGCCCTGGCTGGTGTGGCTCAGTGGATAGAGCTTCGGCCTGCGGACTCAAGGGTCCCGGGTTTGATTCCAGTCAAGGGCACATACCTCAGTTGCAAGCTCCTCGGGCCCTGGTCGGGGCTCGTGCAGGAGGCAACCCATCGATGTATTTCCCTCACATCGATGTTTCTCTCTCTGTCTCTCCCTCTCTCTTCCCCTCTCCCTAAAAATCAATGAAAAAATATCCTCGGGCGAGGATTAAAAAACAAAACAAAAAACCCACAATTCCAACGTAGCAAAATAATTAAAAAAAAAACACAAAACTAAAATCACAAAACTTAGGAGCAAATGCAACAAACTCAGGAGGTAGCTACTGCCCTGCCTTTCAGAGGGAAGGAGAGGGGTGGGAAGACAGACTGCATTATGAGGATCTATTCTTTTTTTCCCAAACACAAAACAAGATTAAATTTAGAAGAGCAGGCAGGTTCCTCCGCTCAGAGTCGAGTCTGGAAATAGCGAATGGGGATCACGAATGAGTACGAGGTGGTGACAAGGAGCTCTGAGCGCAGACGATACCAAGAGAAACGGCCAAGAATCGAAGCCCCCGGGACCCCAATTTTTAAAACTAGACAGATCACTAGATCAATGGTAGACTGATCTATAACACATATAAAACTCCAGATAAACATATATTCATCATACAGAACCAGTACCCGTCACTCACACATACAACCCAGCTCAAGTCGCCACCCTGGCCCTGTGCTAAAGTAGAACAAGAGATAAAAATGGGGAAAGGCCCCTAACCCCACCTGACCCTTCCTCTAACAAAATGCACTTTCAATGCTAGCCATGCTAAGGGTCCCCCCCCCCCCCCCCGGGCAGGTTTTGATTACAAAAATATTTTTTTTAATTGATGAATACCCATGCACCCCACATCGCTAAATTGCAGAGTATTTAGAACTTCATGGGGCTGCTTAGCAGATGCGGTGGGTAAGGTGCACCCAGTGCCTGCAATGTGCAAGGCCAAGTACGTGGGTGCAACGTGAGCTACTTCCTTTCGACGGCGATGGATGGAAAAATGAAGAACTGGTCCCAGGAAATGAGTGCTCGCTGCTCTGACTCAGAGCTGGCTCGCTCGTCCCCGCACCCGTACCCCCACCCTGGGCCCCACCGTTAACTTAGACATTTTCAGCCCAAACCAAGAGTTTGGACTTTCAGTTTTCACGGCAAAGGCACCCACGGGGGAGATGCCACACTTCTGTGCAGGACGCAAGCCCGCGTGCTGCTGCCCTGACACAGTTACGTGTTGATGTATTTTAGGGGTGAAATAGCATCGGAATTGTGCCCGTGGATGTCTCTGGATTTTTGGTCCTGTTTCGTTAGGCCTTCGGGGTACACAACGTACACGTGCTACCCGGGAGCCTAACGCCCTACAAACACTGAACGCAGATTTCACGCAGTTAGATAAGACATAGCACCTTTGTTGCTGATAAAGAAACATACTCAACTCAAAGCATCAATAACTTCCCAGATGAGACCCTCACTCACCAAATGCCTTTCAGAACTCAAAAACACGATCAACAAGATTTGCAGACACAGATGATTAGACCTATATTCCCCGCCCCCCCCAAAAAAAACTAAGTATATATATTTCAGGAAGACTATCAACACCTTTTAGAAAAATGTCTGCTCTCCAGATGTATGTGAGCAACGGATGTTCAACTTGAACTTCCAAAACAAATCTATGCATATCGATCTACTTGTGTCTAGTATGAGGGTTGAGAGGTTTTTAGATCATTTTTAGCCTCTGATTTTGATTGCAAACTCAAAGATGTTTCTTAACGTGAAAGTCCTTCACAAACTGGGTTGGGTTGGAATTTCTCGGGGGGCTGGCCCTGCGGCCAGCCGAATATTTCTGAACCCCTTTCAGGAAGCCATTCTCGAGTGGGACTTGTTCATGGGAAGGGACTCTGGCGTATGAGAATACACACGTGGTCGCCCTATTAAAGCTCTTCTTCTCTATCACTCGTTTTTGATGAAATGAAGCGACTTGAGAAGGACGGTAGCTAGCAAACGTTGTCTGTACTAAGACAAAACGCCGTCCCCGTGTAAAAATCACTCCAGTCCATCATTTAAAATCCACAACTGCTACTGGGTTCTGAGCAAGTGGCACTGGGCCGTGGACCAACTCAGAGGTCGATTGGGCCTTCTTCCAGAGGACAGGGATTCAGGCTGAGGATTCAGCCGAATATTTCTGAACCCCTTTCAGAAAGCCATTCTCGAGTGGGACTTGTTCATGGGAAGGGACTCTGGCGTATGAGAATACACACGTGATCGCCCTACTAAAGCTCTTCTTTATCACTCGTTTTTGATGAAT